AGAGCAGGTAAATGCAGAGCCGCTGGCCCACCTTAACCCCTTCTTTCCCCAGGCAATGCGTGGGAAAAGCTGTGCCAGAGCAGAGAGCGGGTGGGTGGGCAGCAGGGACACACCCGGCTCTGCCCGCAGCGGGCTGGGCAGCAGCCTGGAAGGCAGCGAGATAAGAGAAAGAAGAAATGTCTTTTGTGGCTGAGGGCCTTTCCAGCCTTCTCATCCTTTAGGCTCCGAATTTTGGGAGGGAAGTAGGAACCTCTTGGGTGCTCTTCTCAACTGGCTGATATGAGGTTTACACCCTTCTGCCTTCCCTTAGCCGAAGTGAGGTGGCACGGTAGATGATGTGCGTACCCCCTGACAAAGGCTGGTTGTGGTCTCTGTGCTGGTCTTTCTGGTTCAGCATGCACAGATCTGCTCAGGTGCCATGGGAGAAGGGGGAAGATCCTGTGTGCAAAACGGGAGTATCCATCACGGCTTTTGAGCTGAAAAGTTTGCCTGTGCAGGAAGCTGAGGCCCCGAATCCTTTCTCTCAGCTAAAGAAAGCTCTTCCTCAGCCACCTGGAAATGCCAGGATGGAAGTTAGAGTAACCTCTGATTTTCCCCACTCACGCTATTCTAAGTGTCAATTCCCTGCATAGTAAGATCCAAGCACACAGAGCTTTGGTTGCAAATTGAAGGAGGCTTGTGCAGTCCTGAGAACAACCTCTGATCCTTTTTGGGACTACTCGAGCCTGAAGATGACTTAGCAGGCTGACCCAAGTGCTGTCTCCCATCAAGGCCCTTTCTTTTAGCAATCGGCTCGATACTAAGTGACACTGTAGTTATTCTAAATACCTCATTGGGTGTCATGCCCAGTTTCTCCTGCAATCTAAAGTCATTCCTACAAGAATTGCTTGATTTTCAGTACTTTTAAATGAATGAATGCCTTAAGGGTGAACTTTACAGCCTGCTCCTGTGAGCACTGCATGGCTTCCCTGGGCTCCCGGCCTGAGAGCAGGTTTAGGATCTGAAGCACTTCTTAGTAAGAAAACTTAAAATCTTGCTGCTTGCTTTCTCGTGTACCCGAACCGTATTTTGTGCAGTCAACACAGGCTGGGCACAGGCAGCGCTGGGTGCTCAGTGCAGATATCCCAAGCTCAGCTATTTTGAAGCATGAGGAGGGCACAAACAACTAGCAGCGTGGATAGAAAGGAAAATCTGGGGGATTGGCCTGCTTAAGCTTGCCCTGTAGGTGTTTGTGTAGCTGTCCTCTTGCAGGCTGTGTCGATAGGCATTGCAGGGAGTGATCCCTCAGCTCTCTGCGGCAGTCGGTGTCACAGCTAGGGATGAGTCCCTGCCCGGCGGCTGCTGGCCCACCATGGCTTTCCTCCTCTCCAGATGGAGTGGCCACATCCACACTGCCTATGGGGAGAGTTTCCTGGCCCTTGCTAACCCATGAATCATGCCCAGGGACTGGGAGAAAGCTGCCTGGCACAAATCAAAACTGCCCACAGCCAGGCTAAGAACTGGGAAGTGTGGATGGACGTATGCAGAGCTGGGACCAGCCTCCTTTCCCTGCTTCGGTTTTCTAGCAGAAGGAGCCAAAGGAGCGGAGTGAGGAAATGGTGGAGGTGAGGCTAAGGACTGTCTGAGTGGGCTTTGTTTCCCACATAAGGACCTTCCTTACTTCCCACATAAGGGCCAGGTCAACTTTTTATTTTAAAAACAACTCCACAAACTCTTAAAAATCCCCGAAGGAAGAATTAGCAAAGAAATAGATGTTTAGGCCTCTCATTAAGTCATACGTTTATGATGAAGTTTCCTTGTTAAAGATGGGGTGGCCTACTGTATACCATTATTTCTCATTAATGAAAAAAAAAAACCCGAAGCTTTATGTGACACTTTTCAGATCATTAGTTCCTAGCCAAAAGAACACCAAGAATTCAAGTTCAGAGATAAAGTGGCATTTAAAAAAACATAATTGCTATGCAAAAAGAATAGATTTATTTCCTTCTTAATTTTGGATGCGCTGATATTTGAACTATGTGAGATCAGCTGATGCAACAGTAAATTTATTGTGAGTTTTTCATGAAATCCTATCGATACAATTATTATTATTTATGTTATAATAGCGAAGTGGCTGGGGTACGCCAGAGTACCCAATGGCCGTGTTTGCAATCGGGTGCCTATTGCTTTTCAGCACTGCGTGCCCACGGTACGCCTCTCCTCCAGAGCCAGGGGTTTGTTTTCAGAGAGACCGCTCAGACAAAGGGGTGAGAGCTGAAGCCCAGCTGCACGGAGTCGCTTGCTCCAAGGCACAGGACAAGTCAGTGACAGACCCGGGAATGGAGCTAGGTCACGTTCTTTTCTGATTAATTTAGCATCTTCTGTTATCTGATGTTCAACAACTGAACCTAGAGCTGCTGTGCAGTATGTCTTAAGCTTATGCCTTAGCTGCCTTGAGATCTTGCAGCACATATAGCAGTGCTCCTCTTACAGCAGCAATGGGAGGATTACTTCTTGAAGTCTGTCTTGTTAGGACCTCTTCATATGCTGCATAAACTAAGTTAATAGAGCACAGGAAGCCTCCAAATTTATCATGTGTATATGACTTATTATGGCCAGCATGTAACAATTAGAATTAAAAAGTTACAATTTGTTCTTTAAATGAATAGCAGACATACTATAGATGATTTATATAGCACCGGCAGCCTATGATTTACATAGTTCCAGTAAGAAAGGAAAACGTGGGAGGCAGAACACTCCTACGGTAAAACAAGCCTGTGTACTAGATGTTAAATCATTAAATTAAAGCAGGGCCTGAAATCTGTACCAGATGTCCTACCATCTGAACAACTAAATCAGACATGTATTTAAAAGAAACAAACAAAAAAAGGAAAGGTGGAGGATAATGCATTGTGTAGCCCAGCAGCTTTTCAGTGGGACCCTGCCTCACTCTCCGCCCTGCCTCTGCTGCGGGGAAGGCGAAGATGGGTGACATTCCTGCCAGGAGGCTGGATAGCTGATCCCTCCTTATTACCTTCCAGATTGTTGGTTGATAACTACATTTGGCTTGTAGGTGTGTACGTGCATTTGAAGACTCCCTTTTTCTTAATGTGTCCAGCTGGTGAAGGGTTTTTTTTTTCAGTTAATGGTACAATTAATTTCAACTCTCAGTGGCAAGGGATCTACTGTCATGCATGTTCTTCTGTATGCTTTGTGGGTTTCCTAGGATTCTCTAGGAAAATCAGGCCATTTTGATGCTATTTATTTGAAATCTTTCCCGGTATTAATTATCTCAGAATTCTTCCTAGGAAGGGCAATAGAAACGTGCAGTAGAAGAGTGCAGTGGTACCCAGGTCCTGTCCGTGCCACGGTGCCCCAGCCAGCTCACACCACCCTCAGTGAATATGGAAATCCGCTGCGCTCATTACCGTTAGCTCTGCTGTTGCATCAGATGATTTACAGCAGGGCAAAGATGGACTCCACTGGTTTGCTTTCAAAACTATGCTTTCAGCTGCAGAAGTGCTAGAAACTTTTCTTTTCCTCCCATTAAATGAGAATTTAAATTCTGTAGCTATTAGGAGGCTGGTCTGCTCCTCAGCTCACTATTAACCACAGGCGAGTTGGCAGGGTGTTTTTCAAGCTCTGATGGAGGCAGTGTGACAAAATAAATAGCAATGCTAACAATAATAACATAGTAACAATACCAAAATACTTGGTTAATAGAGTCAATTTTTGTTTGGAAGTAATATCTTTCAAATAATAATTATTAACTACTGCAAACACTGTTATTTTTTCTACAGTTTCTCCTGCTGACTGATGCTGTCTTATTGTTTCCTAGCTTTCCCCCAGGTATCCGTATCTGCCTATTATCACTTGTATTTAGACTGTGAGTGTTTTGGCTAGGGATCTTTTTGATCAATGCTAATGTAGAATTTAGATCAGCTCAATCTTCATCTGTGGCTCTGTCTGTTAGACACTGGGCTAACATACGGAGTAATGAACAGTATGAAATCTGAATCTAAAAGCTAATCTGGTAAAATATTTGAAGCAGTTTCTATTTTTCTATGCATTTTTGTAACACTGGTTGTGCTTTTTGTTTTTAGAATAAGGGCTCCCAGGGCACGCTGCCACTATTTAAGCAGAATAGCAGTAAGAGAAGTTTTGATCTCCCATCTTTTCAGTATTCGAATCTGTAGCCAGGCTGACAAACCAAGGAGAGCAGAGGCATCATTTCTAGGTACTCCTTTGGGTACCTTGAGGGCTCTTGTTTCACTGAAATTCTAAAAATATTAAGCCAGAGCAGTAGGTTAGAAATGATTTGATGGCTCAGAGACTTGACTAACTTTCTCTTTTAAACCAGTGGCACAAGAGCTCATTTGATGGAAACCTTTACTTGTCCAAATGGTGATGAGCTTAAAACACAGATTGTGCGCGCCTTACATGTTTGGGACCCTCAAGAGACGTGTGGCTTAAATTCAAGCGAAGAAGACTTAGCATTTATCTCTTCTAGTTAACAGTTTGCATCCTGAGAGGCTGACTCATGCCACTCAGTTTTAATTCTCAAAAGAACTTGAAATTTCTTGATATTGGGGAGGAGATGACAAATAGCAATACAGATAGTAGGGCAGCTCTGCCAAATCAGATTATCTGTTGTTCAGTGCAAAACTGAATCGACTGGAACTAGAATCTGGTTAAACAGATGATGCGCTGGATGCCACCCATCATCAAGAACATAAAGTATTGAAAACAGCTGACACAGCTGGATTTGACATGAGACGTCTGTACCTTGCATTCTCCCTGTCTCTTCCCTTTCTCTTGGCCTGGTGGAAATCCCAGTGGCCCCTGGGAGCGAAGAGGATGCACAGACCACATAAAAAAGAGGTAAAGGTGAAAGATCATAGTGAAGTACTACCAACAGTTGATAGCAGCGTCTGCCAGACTGTTTTTCCAAGAAGTCCTTGGAAATACTTTGAATCTCTTCATGTCCCATAAAAAAAATTCTCAAAGAACTTTTCTGTAAAGGGGAAGTTGCTGCCACTGTTAAATTACAAGAGAGTGGGATGCTCAGTTAATTGTTTGAGCTGTTCTGTTCTTGACGCATCAGGACCTCAGTGAACCATTACCCTAGAAAGCTCTATTGCTGTCGTGGTAGATATGGTAGCCATCCCGAAGCATTTGAAAGAATGACTGTTGGTGTGGCTATTAACTTGTCAAGCCTTCCAGGGCTCATTGTGGCTGCACACCGGTCCCTGCCTCTTTTGAACTGAAGCTGGAACTCACATAGAAAAGGAACATTAAGAGTGCATTATATATGTGATAACGTATTTCCAGCATTTCTTATTCACTTTATCAACTGGGCCAAAAAAGTTGTCTAAGCTCTCCATTGAATTAAGCATGCTTCTATAAATAGAGGGCATTAAATACATTTAAATTAACCATGAGTTCTCGATTATCCTAGCAATTAGTAATACCTTGCTAGCTACAGTATGTCCCATATGAGTCTGTTTAAACAAGTGAATGCAACTGAGTTTAGCCATAAATAAATCACGATTTGTTTCTGCACAACCTAACTCCAGGCTAGTACAGAACACGCGTTGCAGCACATCAGGGCCAGCACACCCTCCGTCCCTGACGGCACCGGAGCACTCATGGGAGAGCTGGGGCCAGGGCAAAGTGAGCATCTTGCTGTCCCCTAAATACACACTGTTACTTAACACAGGTTGGTAAGAATAAAACAATACCATCTTCCCCTGAGACTGAACACCGTGGTCTCTTAAAATTAAAGGCTAACATGTTGATTTTTTTTTCTTTTTTTTCTTTAAAGTAGAAAGGCAGTCAAAGCCGTCTTGGGGCAAATTTATTTCACTCAGTAGCTTATCCCATTTTTCTCACTTTTGATTGGTTATATTTCTGTATCTATATGGAAAGTAATTTCAGTGTGGAATAAAAGTTTCAGCAATACAATCCAGAGTAATTTTTCCCACCTTTTTACGTAGGATTTTAATTTCCCTAAAGTCCAGCCAAGGATAGAGCATATTTTATGGCAGAACCTGTGCATCCTGGTGCTGACATGAACAGTAGTGGCAGTGAGGTGAAATGTTGGACAACACGGGGCTGGAGTGGATTAAAGATGAATCTTTATGCAAATAACTCTGGGCTGTGTGAAAGCTTCAGTATAGTCACTTTAATCACATTTCATTTGCTTGGGCTGTTCCGCTGATACTTTCAAGACGCAGCTTGCCATTTGCACCACCTAAGATTTCATCTATCACACCAGGTTTACATTTCTGGCTTGCCTCAGCATGTGTCCAGAGTAAAAGCTGCTTTAAGTATCCACTAATAGCTTTGTCTTTCTTGTCTGGTTTTCTGTACTGTACTTAAGTAAGGTATCAAAACCAAGAGAAGAGGTCCATTACAGACTGAAGCATAGTTCCTGTCTTCAACTAATTGCCCTGAAGGGTATTTGCGGTGGGAAGCTTGATTATTAGTGACATGTCCCTGTATACTCCTGATGTGGCTTTTTAGACTTCAAGAGTACTTCAGATACCTTCCTCTGGCAGAAAGTGTTCTTGCTTGTTTTTAGCTAGACCTGCGTTCTTCAGGACTTGTTTTCACTGAGAGGGCAACCTTTGGCCTTTTTCAGTGAGTAAACTTACAATATCGTCATCGTTGTTGTGGACTGTATTTCTTACACTAAGCAAACCTGCAGTAGGAGTTAGGGTGATGGTGAATATGCCATAGATTTGTGGAGGCCCAACCCTGTGACCATTGGTTACTCTCTGTGGTGACTGAAATCCTGGTCTCATTGATGCCTGACAGTTTTCCTGTTGACTTGAATGAATTCAGGACATAATTAGGTGTATTTGTGTTTAAATGTCTACATCTATATATTTATCACTTAGATATATATAAAAGTATTTTATGACCAGTCTTAAGAGACTTGATTGGCCTCATAAACAGAGAATCTTTATGTCTGATGCACCAGATTTCTAGCAGCCTTGTGCCACTAGGGAACCGTTAATCCAAGGCATGTGATGTCGTCTTGAACTCCCTAGGGAGGACATTAGACATCTACGTCAGGAACTTGGGACCCATCTCTTGGACTGGATGTAGGGCGCTTGCAGCAGCCTTCTGCTTTGTGGAGCCCTTCTCCTGGCGAATGAGGTCCTCTGAATGGGGTAGCATAAATGTCGAATGGCATTGAGGCTAATATTAGGATTTGAGTATTTCTAATGTCTGTTTCTTGTTTGAGCTCTGATAAATGATCTTCTTCAGACCGAGGGATTAGCTGACCGCCCAATGTCGCACCTGATGTAATTTCCTTCCCACTGCAACATTTCCCCTGGGAAGGCCTCTTACAGGGTGTATCTCCCTCTAATTTCATGAAGCGATAAAAAAAATAGTATTTCTGAGACCGCCACCACCTTATGGAGGTAACCAGGGGTTTGAAGGCAGTCGCCTGTGCTCTGAGCCCAGCCCCGACCCTGAACACGACTCTGTAAGCCTTCCCTCAGGCTAAGCCCGTTTTTAATCCTAATGCTGGCAGTTGTACAAAGTGCATGTCGTACAGAGGATTTTTAGTTCCCATGTCGATTAGGTGCCCTCCACTGTCCATGCACCAGTGCTGTATTGGATAGATAGACTGGTCTGCAGATACGCTAGGCAAACTAAGACCTTTTTAGTGCCAGTAAAACCATCTATGGCCTTCATGCTGCCAAACACTCCCGACACGTCCCATTATACTTGCGCAAACTCGTTTGGGAAAGAGCCGATGAATGATTTAATTTTTCCTCAGGTCACTCTTCGCGCTGTAGTGCTGGGGATGTGCGTTTGTTTGCTCATTCAGAGGTCTCAGCAGCCACGGTGGCATTTTTCCCACAGTGTCCAGCAGTTGGGAGCTGCTCTGCCCGGGGAGAGGGGAAGCATCAGCCGTGCCGTGCCGGAGGCGTTGGCTCTGCCACGCCAGTCCCTCTGTCCCCGGGCAGGTTTGCTCAGGGCAGGCAGGGTGCTCCAGGTTTGCTTGACTGTGCCTACTGCAAAAACGGGGTCCTGGCCTGATGGTTCTTTGATGATCAAATTGCACTAACCATTTTAAGGATCCAGGTTTTGAAAGTTTTCCTTCAGAATGGTTTTTAAGGCATGTCCTTTCTTCTGCCGTGGACAAAATTCCATTTACAGAAATGGGCTTTTTTTTTTTTTTCCTGCCAAAAGGAAATAGAGAATTTTAGCATTTTGAGGATTTCCATAGGGAAATTACAGAGAAAAATTTTTCTTGTGCTGGTTCCTCTTGCAGTTGAAAAAACCTGAACAAAAAAGAAGGAGCATGCCAAACTTGCTGCGAACCTTAGATCTCAGAAAAATGAAGCCTTAGAAAAAAGTTAAATCTCAGGAAAGTGAAAAGGAGAAGAGTGAATATGAAAACTTTGATCCCAGTCACCCAAACCAAATTCAAAACAAAATAAGAGTCTCCAAAATGAAGAGAAGAATCGTATAAAACAATGCTTCCTGTAATGTTTTCTGGGGAAAACACACTTTCTCTTCACTTGCATTAGGCTGACATTAAGAGAGTCCTTTTCTAGTCCCTTTCCTAGGAATGAATAGTTGGGAAGTTCACTGAGTTTTAGTTGGCTAAAAAAAAAAAGATGGAAAGATGCAAGTAGTCAGCTAGAGCAGATTAATTTTGTTTGTATTATTTCCTTTTGCAGATACTTTCAAAATATAGTTATGTACACAACAGAACAGTATACTTACTGTATTAAAACAAGTAGAACTCAGTATAATTTAATTAATTTGTAAATAGGCACACACGGTCTTTGCTACATATGCAGTTTAGTAAAGATTTCTCTGGGACTTATAATTTTGAGAACTTCTATGTTTGATGCCATCATGCGAGACTTTTAAAGGTCCTTATTTAAAAATATCTGCACAGACACTGAAGATTTAACTCTTTCTTTTGTTCCTGGAATATTTGCTTATCTGATATTTCTCTGGTTTAGCTTTCTAATGCTGCATCTAATACTGTGGTGTGGACTCTCAAATTTGCATCTGTTTCAGTAACTATTTATCTTACTTTTAAAAAAGATTTCTAGGTATAAAATGTAGTTAGCCTGGAAAAAATAAAAAATGAAACTACTACTTTCATGTCTCTTAAAAAAGTGCAGATAATTCAGGTATTTCGCCTTTTTTATAAAAACCCAATAAGCTAAACTCCTAAACTTGCTTAATAACTCTGTAATATGGCCGTCTAAAGATGACATTACTGTATATATTTAAGCTATTCAGCTGCTGTATTAGGTGCTTTAGCTTCAAAAAAGAAAGGTGATACTCAACAGGGCTTTGCAATATGGTATTTTGTCTTCTTTTAGAAGATCATCAATCTAAGAAAAGATTATGTGCATATATGTAAACCACATAATTATATACTGTAGGTGGCATCTTTGTAAACCCAAATTTAACAGAAAATGTTAGGACCGATGAATACCATGTCCCAGACTTACCCCCGAAACCACATAGTTTTGGTATACAAACTACTCAGTATTCAGAAGGCAGTCAAGTAACTCTTAAAAGGTTAACCTTAACCAGAAACGCCTCAAAGCCCTAGTGTGTTTTACCTTATGCCTTCAAGATCCTTGAGTAATCAACCTTCTGTAATACCCTTTGTAGATTTGAGAGAAAACATTACCCAGAGAGAGGCACAAGAGGAGCATGAGGAAATCCCTTTTTCAGCTGCTAATTTTGTAGAAGCTGTTATTTCAATCCCTTGGAAAAATAGAGGAGGAAACTTTGGGTCTAGACTTCTGGTGTTAGACTCAGGTTTTGGTATCATTATGATTTTAGAAAAATACAATTTGCATAGATACACTTGTACAGACATTTAATAAAATGCATAGATACTAAAGCAGCTCAGGAGACCACAGGAACGTTCAAATTTGCTTTGTTCTGGCTGGCTGGTGGTCTGGATGTACATAATCCTGCTTCAAAGTATGAGTTCAACTAATTGAGCTTTTGAGACTTTCCCAGCTTTACATACCCATGACTTCTGAGGATACGTTTGCACTCCTTTGATTTAAACTTTTGACAAGCAGTAGAAAGGAATGACGCTCAGGACTTCTCCACGTCCGTGGTCATTGCTCCTTTCCTAACCCAATCTCCCCTTAACATTCACAGGTACACACTGGTGGATATTTTGCGTGCCATACTTCTTTCTTTAGAAGCCATGATAGAAGACCCCGAGCTTCAAGTGAATGGATTTGTTTTGATTATAGACTGGAGCAACTTCACCTTCAAGCAGGCCTCCAAGCTCACGCCAAGCATGCTTAGGTTAGCCATAGAAGGCCTTCAGGTAACGTTCTTCTTTCTTTTCCTAATTCTCCTTTGTTTTGCAGTTCATTACAAATCTAGGTGGCTAAAAAGCCTAAACAAAGCAAAGATCCGAGAACTACTGAATAGCAAGGCTATTAACACCTTAAGGTATGAGTGAACAGGCAAGCTACGGTGGCACGAGCTCATGTGTGAGCTCAGTCAGCTGACTGCAGTAACCCCTGGTGTGTAGGCTCCTTCTTTGCCATAGATAAGAGGTAACTTGTCTGTCTTTATTCCAAAGTGACTGGCTTCCTGAAAGTTCAGACCGTAGCTTCTGCAGCAGCAAGTTAGAAGTAGTCAGTTTATCGCGTAATTTTGCACGGGGCTAATGAGATATGGGTCGCTGCTGCCACGCCAGGTTGGGTTTTTTCATTGATTCCATTGGACTCTACATAATTTGTCCTGAAAAGCGTGGGACACTGTGAGTAGACAGTTAACTGGGACTATTTACTTACTCAAAGTTCAGCATCTGCTTGCCTCTTTTGCTGGGTCAGGATTAATTTGAGCAGCAGCTTCTGGGACTGAGTAATCAGTGATTTAAATTTCTTTCCGCTTTACATGGCGCAGGCACATTCGTGGAAAGGATACTACATAACTCTTGGCTGTCTCCTATGATCTTTAATGCTTATTAAAATGAAAAACTAGAATCTGTAAAGTAGTTGTTTTCTGTGCAAGCTTGAGTTGCTGTGTTAGAAATACCAGTAATTCACTCCTGTGGCAGTGTGCCTTGGTTTTACAAGGACATATATTCCTTTTCTGTGATGTTTTTATCATTTATACATTTTTATTACTCATAAAACAAAATAACAGCCTTATCTGTGAACTTTCTTCACTTTGATATTGCTATTTTTGAAGAAACTTGTATAGCAGTAGTATGGAGTTTTGATCTAAATCTTGAAATGGCTTAACCAGTATTCAGCCTGCTGTTGCGCACAGAAGGGTAGTGACAGTCATGAGACAAAGATCTCAGTTTTCATTTTGTTGTGTTTCCTTATGCAGTGGTGTGATTCCGTGGTCTTGAGAACTACATCAGAAGGCAGCAGTAAGATCTGTGCTCTAATAGTGCTGCATTTCCTTTTATTGCTTTCAAAGTTGTTTTCTTTTTTGTGCTGTTTTTCAAAATCAGGCATTGTTTTCTTGTTTAGAACACAAATAAATACTGTAGTAGTCTTTGTTTTTAAATGGTTGTGTTTCTTCTTGGACATTAATTAGAGATGATTATTTTGAAGAGAGCTGCAGTGGATAATTGCATCTGAAAATATGGCGGATGACCTACCAAACTTCAGGTGGGCTCTGAGGCTCTGTGTTCTCCTGCCATCGATTGGTTCATTACTGAGTTGAGTTGAAGTCCATGGACTTAACTTAGCCATTCCCCCAGCTTTGTATGTTCGAATATCCTGAGTCTGATGGTGACCAGCACCCCGAGCATCATTTTATGCCCACTGTCTTCAGTCCTGTTGGCTCTAGAGATGTAAAAGTGGGCATGAAATGCTCCAGAAGAGGGAATGAGAAGGCACTGAGATGGCAAATGTGAGATAAAACTCTCCCAACACTCGAGGAATCTGTCCTAATCTGTGACAGGTATTGTTATCTGTAAGCAGCAACTTTTACAAGGTCTTTACCACAAGTCTTTTGAAGAAATCAATTAGTTTGGCTCTCGTAACACAGCATTTAATTTTCTGTGGATAACCACTGAGGGAATGAGGGCTAATATTCTTATACTAGCAAAACTGACTGACTGTCTAGTGATATTTTCCCAGTAGTTAGACTACTTGAGGGGTAGTTTATATTTAATTTTTTTTTTCTTAGACATTTTTCTATGTAAAGATATATTAGAATCAATGGAAAAGACTAAAGACAACTGTACTGAGCATCTTCGAGGGAGAACCGAGGTTCAAAAACAATTGGGATCAGGAAAGAAGAGGAAATTGTGGTGGAAAGGTGGTACAGAGAGACCCTGGGCAGGGCACAGGTTTATTTGCACCTTCTTGCAAGATTTCGTGCCTGAAATGTTACATTCCCTTACCCTCAACAGGGACTGCCTTTCTTTTATTTTGGACAAAAATACGTAGCGGAAACATCATTCTGAATGATGTGAAAGTAAAAAGTGCTTAATCAGGTGGCATGAAAAAGAACAAGAATAACTCACACACGCTGTTTATTTATGATCTTTGTAAATACTCTCTGTTTAATCAGAGAAATGGAATTTACTTTGGCTTATAAGATTTAACAGGGCTCAAGATGCTGAACTTTACCATTTGGAGAATTTAAATATTTGTGTTACTTGGGTGGAAAGGGACAGGGAAAGTGGGATTAGTGACCACTGAATTTGATGTTAACCAAATCCCTTTGCCTCCTGAATGAAATCTACTAAATTTGCATTGTATTTACTTAGCTTCCATGGTGAGCAGAATATTCAATATGGTACGTACCAAAGAGAGTTGATTACAAGCTACGGTGTTTCTGGGCTCTTCATAACTGCTTATTTTTTAGGAAATTGCTTTTGAAAATAAGTAAATATATACTTCAGTTTTCTACTGAAGAGAAGTTCTTCTGGATGGAAGAAGAAAAATTGTGGAGGGAAACTACAGGTATCTATAAAATCCTGGGATTGCGGGAAAATTCAGGTTGGAAGAGACCTCAGGAGATCAGCAAGTCCAACCTCCTGCTTAAAGCAGGGTGCCTTATGAGGTCAGACCAGGATACAAACAAGGTCATGGGTGGCTGGAGAGAGGGGACAAGCCGCAGATGTTCTTTGTTACCTCCATTTTAAGAAATGGGTATCGTCAGATGACTAGCAAGAGGCCTGGCGTTTTACGTGACACGGTGATTCTTTGTATAATATCCAGGTAACCTGTGGATCTCCTTGCTGTGGGCAGTTCTGGGTGCTAAAAGTTTAGTTGTATTCAGGGAAAATGAATGTTTGTGGAAGAGAAATGAACTGAGGATTACTAAATACGTAAAAACCGTGTCGAAGCTCAGAATTCCTCGGGCTGCACGTAGTTGGAGATGAGGTGAATGCTGAGTGGAAATATCACATATGCTGTCCCCATTGTATCTGCTCTAGGCTGTCATTTTTGGCCTCTGTTAAGGACAGGATATGGGGTTAAATGGACTTTTGGTGGGACATAAGTAAAGTGTATATTCCACCCCTCTTCCCCCTTTTTAAAATAATTGTTCTTTCATTTTACTGCTCCTGACACTCCCATGGCGCCTTCTGCCCAAACACCAAGCTGGCAACGCTTGGGCAGAAGGAGGGAGGACATTCTGGGTATGATTCTTTTCTTTGTGGTAGTCCTTTTATAGCTATATATATGGGCTTTTTGTTAAGTATCAAGAGAGCATTGTTTTCCCAAAGCAGGTAAAAACAGTGTCAAAGACCAAAAATTCAAATTGAAAATTATATTGAAGATTGGGGTTTATTATTAATTCTGACAGACAGCTTTGGGGGTAATTATAAGTGAGCTTTGCAAAGGGGAAAGCTGTGGGTATGCATAAGACACATTAACTGATATTTAGGATTTTAAGACCTGTAACACTAAATCCTTCTTAAATACTTGATTTCTATTTAGCTCATAATAGTAGTTGCATACATGACAGATTGTTTTGCATGTTGTCACTCAGGCAGGCTGTACCTCCAAATGCTTTGCGAAACTGCGTAGTTATTGGTGGCTGAATATTAATGCTTTTCCTCTAAGTAAAAAGCTGGGGAAAAAGAGACGATACACATTTAAACTGGGAGCTGAACATATGTGGGCAGTCAGCATTGTTGCAGAAGACAGAAGACTCTTGCTTTTGGGTTGAGGATGTTTACAGGAAGAGAGAGGGATAGCGTTGTGGGGGACAAGGCAGGTCTTTCAACTTTGTGTCTTCTTTTTTGTATCAAAGGAAGGCTTCATAAGCTAAAACAAACTCGTTACTGTGAACATGAAAGCAAAACAGAAAGAACACGAAGACAGCATGCTTGCAGCTACTCTTGCTATCCAAAACATCTTTCCAACAGCTGTGCTTGTGAGTTCTAAGGATGATATCCCCAACCAGATTTGCTGCAGCAGTGTAAGGTGGAAGTAACAGAGACCAGAGCATGTATGGGCTGGTGATGAAAGGGACAGAACTTCCCACTCCCATTTTCTTTAAGCATGAACTTCACCAATATCTTACAGGGAATCTTATCTGAACATCGTGGGTGGTTCACCAAGCACAGGCAGTGTTTAAATTTTGCTGCCTAGTTCTGGACTACATCTGTACAACCAGCAGGTTGCAGTGTCAAGAATTTGTAAGTCAGGAACTTCCAGAACTAAGGATGCCTCTGAAAATAGTATTTTGACTTCATATAATTACATGGTCACGTGCTCTGTGCAGTGCATAAGATCGTTAATAATAAGCTTAAGGAACAGTTACTCAGTACTAGCAATGAGTATCAGTGAGCAGCGAACCACAAAAATGGAGCTTTAAATGTCTTTGCATCCGAACCTGAAACCATAAAAAACACTCATTCAGTGCTTGAGTTTTCTGCCAGGTTTTGAAAATAGGGTACTGACACTTCACATAGTGCTTGGGAGGATATTAAAAAGTAGCAGGCTCAAGCTTTAAATGGAAATATCTTCTGCTTTCAGGAGGGCTAGTAAATCATATAGCTGCTTTCATTTGTTTTTTTTT